CCCCCCTCCCCCCAACACCCGCCAATAGGAAACCGGCCCGGGAGGGTGCACATCACCCCTGTTAATTTCTCTTACCCGCCCCGCCCCCCCCCCCCCCTCCCCCGCCCCCCCCCCCCCCAGCCCCCCACAAAGCAAGGAGTGTGGGGGGGCGGGGGGGGAGGGTTGCACATCACTCTGGTAAGTTGCTCTTACCTGCAGCACCCTCTACACCCATACCACAGCCTCCACTGGGCCTCCCAAGCCTTCTCCGGCCTCCCTCAAGTCACGCAGCCCACATGGGCCCTCCTAGGGCCTCCCCCGGCCTCTCACACCTCTCATGGCATCCCCACGCTCCTTGCCTGGGACTCCCGCTGCTCCCCACTTAATGACCTGCGCATCTTGGGCTTACAATGGCCACTGGGACTGCTGGGATTGCTGTCGCTAAGTGATGCGGTCATGTGACATCATGCTTTATGACTGTATCACTTAGTAATGGGAAACCTGGTCCCAATTGCTGTTATAACCCGAGGACTACCTATATATAAAGGTGATGTAGTTTAATAAAGTAACTATGAAATTTTTACTTTATAGTCCACTGATTCAATAAAAAATTAATGCATTTCCTTCTGTGGAGTCCTTGGGGTTCTCTGAGCTTGGTTTTTTTCTTGCAAACATTTCATTACCTGGCTAGGTAACATCTTCAGTGCTAAAATGGAGTGGAGTTTGCTCTCTGTTTATATACAGCAACTTGCCCTGCCTGTGTTGGTGGTGTTTTTTTTTCCCCCCTGGCAGCTCCTTGATTAGGGTTTTGTTTACTGCTTTATTGTATGTCTGGTGATAATCTTGGTGTTAATCTGTGCTTATCTGGGTGATGATTGTTGGTGAGGAGATGTTCTGGTCTTTTGTTTCCTTTTTATTGTCTCTTTTAAATAGTGTGTAGATGTTGTTTATCTCTACGTGCCTGTTGATGGCTACCTTGTCTGAATACCAAGCTTCCAGGAATTCCCTCGCATTTTTGGATTTGGCTTAATGATGCTGGAAGTTGCCGGCCAGAAATGGTCGACACTTCAGTGGTTTGAGCACAAGCTCCGCATGGCGGGGTGAGCTCCCATCTTGCACCCTCAGCTCCTGCCCACCTGGCAGCGGGAAAGTGTAAGCAAGTAGATAAATAGGTACTCTCACTCCAGTGGGAGGAAAAACGCTGGTAGCGCCTTGCACGGGAAAACGGGAATCGGGTGCTGGTTGCTGGAGGCAACGCAATGGAAAAGACTTGATTTTCTGCAGCCGCCAGCTGGGCTCCGCCCCAGGAAGGAGGCAGTGGCAAACCACGTCCGAAAAAACCTTACCAGGAAAACTGCAGGGACTCGTCCAGGCAGTCTCTGTAGAATCAGTCACGATTGAAAGCGGATTAAAAAAAAAAAAGATGCTGACAGTTTCCCAGTTGAAACTATGGTTATGTCTGTCCACGTCTTGTGAGATTAGGGAGTTTTCATCGTGTCTTCTGACTGCTAGTTGGTGTTCATGGATGCGCTCTGCTGCCAGTCTGTCCTACATAGTGGTTGTTACAGTCCTTACACTGTATGTTGTAGATGACTCCTG